AGGGAGGAATATTGGCAGCCATATAAAGCTAATAGCCAAAAAGCCACAGTGCAAGTAGTAGGAGATGAAGCATACAGAGCCCAGTGCAAGCTGTGGCTGCGACCGCTACTGTAATAATATCATTTCTCTCTCTCCAAACTGCAGAGGAAGCTTGGAGACAGAAGAGAACCAAACTTTCCTAATTACTATTATATTCACATGCCCAGAGTCCCTTTTACTGCACCTTCAAATAAGGAACGGGACAAAAGCCTACCTGGGAAGCGCCCAATGCTCAAAGTCAGAGCATGACCTGGGGCCACTTGTGTATGTTTTTTATGTGGATATACTTCCCTCTCTCACAGACTCAAACATTTTCATATTACTAAGCATGTTTAAGCAGTACAGAACTGTACAACTCTATTCCCACATTTCATGCTTCAAGATGACCCAAGAGCTTTATGAGCTTCAGGAAAAAAAAAAAAGGCATTTTTACATACATACGTGTGTTTTTCTAGATTCCTATAACCAGAACCTTCAACAAAATCAAAACCATGCATGATTAATTTAGGCAGCAAACTCCATTTCAGAACAACCAATTTATGTATATAGAATATACAACACCTGAAGATTAACTGCAGCATAGACAGTACCATCCTCCTCCCTAGCTGTGCTAATGTACAGAATAAGTGATTCGTCACATCAAACAGCAAGTTTGTGATACACCTTTCCTTTCAGCAAAAAAGCCCCTCAAACCAGCATCAATTAAGGAACAGAGACACCTTACTGCAAAAGTACCATAGCCCATTTCCTTTAATCTGAAGCATGACTTGCTGATGAAAGTTAACTGGGATTGAAAAGAACAAGCAACACAGCTCAGTACACAGTGCTCAATCCAAAATCTTCAAAACAGAGAGGAATCCTTCTCATCAGAGCCACAGGGCAGAGTATCTGTCTCACTCGACAATGCAAAAGTTTGGAAGGTTATTTTACCAATGCTCCCTAGACTAATCTATTAAATGCCCTAACACTAAGCACAGAACAACTTAAGGAGGCTGGTATGTCTTCACAACACAAATCTTTTTACAAGGAAAATTAAGTTACCTTTAATGCAGTTGTATTGTCTGGCAAATAAAGACTCAGATAGCATTCAAGGACCCTAAGCAGTAATCTCGGACTAAAATTACCCACTTAATCTATAGCCAAAGATTATACTGACCATATACAGGTTGAAACCTGCTGGAACTGAAGGATTACAGAAAGGGTCATGGCTTGAAATACTAGTACATAAACAGATTGGAGAGACAGATGGGAAAGTGAACCCTTTTCCGGCAAAGCACCCCCTGCAAAATTTTAAAACTTTTCCAGGCACTTTACCATTTTAAATGCTATTATGATGCAGTGCAAAGTATTCACCAGGTCTCTACAGATTGGCTTCCACACACTGAGGACCTACTCCTGCAAGGTTTCCTTGCCAGGGAGCACGACAGAAGCTAAACACCCACTGATCAGAGACAAGAGAGTCACCAGGATATGAAGATGCTCATTGTCCCTCCACTCTGCATCCCAATCAAGTGAACGTGTAGACACCATAGTCTAGGCATGTCAGGATCTCTATGGAAACACAGTTCCTCTCCTTTCCCCCCACATATAGGGGGAATTCAGAGTATACTGAAAACTTTCTTTTAGCATGCACACAGAATTCAGAAATAGGGCAGGTAAAGTTCACATCAGAGGCTACAAACACAGGCATTCAGGTCTTTCAGCAGGCTCTGTACTCCTGCAAGCATCACTTGCTCAGCATCATTCAGAATGAGCCCATAACCAGAACAAAATAGAGGCAAACATAAAAAAACCACCCTGCAACTACACATACGTTGTAGGCTGGTGAGCTACAGACCATACGCAGAGGGGAGGAACAGATCACTGCATGTTACCCACGCCCACCCACAGCCATAGTAATGAACACTGCTGTAAAAAAAAAAAAACCACCAAACTTAAGAGCCACTCTCAAACAACTACTGAATAAGGCACTCAGTGTTTCACCCCACTGAAATAGAAGACTTGGTCTTTCAGTGACCAATGCCACTTCTTACGAAGCACTTGCAGATTTTGTGTATGCTTGTCCTTAACTGTTCCAGTAACATTGCCTTTATGACCACAATATAATCTACTGAGAAGAATTCGAAGTATGCCAATTCACATTTAAGATAAGCTAACTTATTTCCCCAAACAGAACAAAGATACCTATCTATACGTATCTTTTTCCTTCACTGTCGTTGCTGATATAAGCTCACACATGGACTAGTAGAACAAACACCCTTACAAGCAATTATCATAATTTACTAGCACGCAGTGTTTCTGTAAACATGTCCTTTTGCAGTTTCTGATAATTAGCTCAGTCCAGAATCTTAAAAGAATATTAAAATGGGTAAAGGACATCTCCGATTCCTCTGTTTGGTGCTGGAAATTATGCAAGCCTCAAATACTTCAGCAGAGGTAATTTACAGTCAGTGAGCAAATGTTCATCTTGAACAATATGAGTCAACTCCCTTCAGGCATTTTTTTTTCCTTAGAAATAATAATATTTGTATGTAAAAGACAAGAAGTGGTCAGAAAATTACAGATATAGATTTTATCTAGGAACAGAGGTGGAACCAAGACTTTGATTTATAATTACACTTCAACAGGCTACTTGTCACAGCAGCCCCGTAGTAAACACTACTTTAAGACTAAACAACAGACTCCATGCCCTAATTCTTACCAGCTCTGCAGCATGCAGGTCTCAGCCTAAATCAAATGAAAAATTAAGTATTTGCAGATTAGTGACACTTCCCTGATGGAGGCTCATTTTAATACGACTCTGTAATTACACGGTGGTGGTTGCGTTTTTGCTTAAGAATCAGTGAAACAGCTGAAGGAGAGGAAATCTGCTAAACATCCCATCGATTTAACTAACACCGCTTTCAACTGCTAAATCTGCAGCGATACTACCAGTTCTGCAGAGCCAAATCCTGACCCTACCTAAAGTCCTCCAGCACAAACTCAGTGGCTTCCTAGGACCTGCAGCGAGATGGAAAGCAGAACACGCTGCTCCTGCTAGCAACGCACTACTGCTCACCACATGCAGACAAAGAAACCCAACTCTAAATTCCCCCCAGATCACTTCCACCATAACGCCTGAACAACTCCGCCTCTGAAAAGAAAGTCTCCGGGTTTCTCCCCAACCTGATAAAGAAACGGTATGAGAAGTTGAAACGCGCTTGGTTTCCTTTACAGAGCAATAGCCACGTGCAAAAGTTTCTGTACCGGCGCAGGGAGCGC